AGCAGGAACTTCCTTTACCCAGTTGCTTGGAGTAGTTGTCCAACAAGATCCATGCCCCACTGGGCAAATGGCCAAGGGCTGGACACTAGGTTCAAATCTATTGCTAGTTGATGTATCAAAGGTGCGAACCTTTGACACTTCTCGTACTTTCTGACGCAGGCTTCAACATCCTTCTGCATGTAGAGCCACCAGTACCCCTGAGTAATGGCTCTATGAGCAAGTGATCTGTCCCCAGCATGGCTTCCACATACTCCTTCATGTATTTCATACAAGAAGTCTTCAATTTGGGAGGGATGCACACATCTCAAAAAGGGACCAGTAAAAGACCTTCTGTAGAGATGTCCTTCTACTGTTAGGGTAAACATTGCCGATTTCAGTTTGGTCTTTTGCGCCTCTTTGCGATCATCCGGTAACTTGTCATCCCTAAGAAACATCACTATTACATCCATCCAACTTGGACCCATGTCCACACACATTGCTTCATACTCTGTGATTAGTGATTCCATACTTGAGCCTGACAAGTAATCAACCATTATTGTCCTTGCCTCCCCTGATTTCATTGCACTAGCTAGGTTAGCCAAGGCATCGACATAGTTGTTGTCATCTCGGCTAACCTGCTGTAGTCGGCAATCCTGAAACAAGGCTAGCAGTCTAACAATCTCTTTGACATAGGTTATCATTCTCTCATCTCGGGCTGTATACTCTCCTGTTTCCTGGTTCACAATAAGTTGGGAGTCACAAAAGACTACCACCTCATCGGCTTCCATTGCTTCTGCTAACTTTAATCCTGTGATTAGCGCTTCATATTCTGCTTTATTAGTTGAGACTTTGAACCCCAAATGAATAAACTGCTCTAAGATTCGCCCATTTGGTGATACCAACACCACTCCTGCCCCCACTTCTTGACGGTTTGAACTACCATCAACAAACAGGCGGAAGGAGTAGCCAATATAAATATCGCAGGGCTCGAGTTTCTCTTCTTTCTTCTACTCTGCTGTGGGGTTTTTCATTCTGAGTTGGGTCTCTTCTTGTTCTCCTAGACACCCTAAGACACGGCTCACTGGAGCCCAACGTGGGATGGCACTAGGTGTGAACTCGGCCACAAAGTCGGCCAAAACCCGGCCCGTAATTGTTGTTCTAGGCCTAAATTCCAAGTCATATTGCCCCAATACTACTGCTCATCTAGCTACCCTGCCTGTCAAATCTCCTTGCTGTAAAAGGGACTTCAAGGGATGCTCAGTTAATACCACAATCTTGTAGGCTTGGAAGTAATGATTCAGATTTTTGGAAGCCATCACTAAGGCCAGTGTTAATTTCTCTAGGGGCAAGTACCTAGTCTCTATGCATGCTAGGGTTTTACTCACATAGTATACTGCCATTTGTTCTCTATTCTCTTCTCTGATTACCACTACACTCACTGCATGCTCCGAAACCGCCAAGTATAAGAACAGTTCCTCTCCAGGTACTGGATTTGAGAGAACTAGAGCTGTGGTCAGGTATTTTTTCAAGTCGGCTAAGGCGACTTCGCACTCCTCTATCCACAAAAAATTTGTGGTCTTCTTTAATAAGCTGAAAAATGGTTTACACTTATCTGAACTTCTGCTTATAAACCTAATCAAGGCTACAGCCCTTCCTATCAGTAGCTGTACTTGTTTTGCCGATGTTAGGCTCTTCAAGTCAAAGACGACCTTGATTTGATCTGGGCTTGCCTCAATGCCCCTTCTAGTAACCAAGTATCCCAGGAACTTGCCAGACCCAACTCCAAATGCGCATTTTAAAGCATTGAGTCGGAGCCGATATGTCCTCAGAATGTCGAAAACCACCTTTAAATCAGCTAAGTGATTCTCAGGCTCTTTGGTCTTCACGACCATGTCATCAATGTATACTTCCACTATTTTGCCAATTAGATGTCTAAACATCTTGGTCACCAACCTCTGATAGGTTACTCCTGCATTTTTCAACCCAAAATACACCACTCTATAGCAATACAGTCCTTTTGGGGTGATAAATGCAGTTTTCTTCTTATCAGGGAGTATATTGCTATCTGATGGTACCCCTTGTAAGTGCCCAGGAAGCTCATCCTTCCATGCCTTGAAGTGGCATCTACTAATTGATCGATCTTGGGGAGTGGGAAACTGTCTTTGGGACAAGCCTTATTCAGGCTGATAAAGTCCATGCAGACCCTCCACTTCCCATTCTTCTTTTTCACAACAATTGTGTTTGACAACCAAGTTGGGTACCTCCCAAATGGCTTTGGCCTCCAACAATTTGTTCACTTCCTCCTCTACTGCTTCCACATGAACCAACGTCAGCTTCCTTGCTCACTGAATGACAGGTTTAGTGGACCTATCTACATTGAACATATGGCATGTGACCTCGGGATCAATGCCAGACATCTATGTTTGCTTGCAAGAATGCTTCCAACTCTTTTTCTTCCTCCTCGACTAAACCTGAGCCGAGAAGAGAGAAGCGCTCTTCATCACCTTGTTGGACCAGAACTTTCTTTAAGGCTTCTTCGTTTTCGTCGACTGACTCTGTGCTGACGTCATCCAGGACCTCCATGTCCTCGTCCTCAATTTAGACTGTCTCTACCTCTCGCACGTTGCAGGTGGATTTCATTGCTGCCATAGAGCAATTCTTTGCCTGCACCTAATCCCCTCTGACCTCTTCAATTCCATGCTCTGTTGGAAACTGCAACAGTTGGTGTAGTGTTGGGGGGAACAAGCCTCATTGCGTGCAACCATGGCCTCCCCAAGATAACATTATAAGGGGAGGGGGTGTCGATTATTATGAACTCTATACTTACCTTCTTGGTGTTTGTTTGCACCTCCAAATTCATTGCTCCCAAGGGCCATGTCAGCGTTTCATTGAACCCAACCATTGGGTTGTTGGCTTGCTCCAGATCATCTCGGTGAAGGCCGAGCTCCTTGTAACATTTATACATGATGTCACAAGAGCTACCTTGGTCAATCAGAATGCGCCTTACCTAGCATTCTCCAATCTTGAGGGTTACTACCAGAGCATCGTTGTGTGGATGTTGCACCATGCCTAGGTTAGCTTCAGTAAAAGACACCATTGGTCCTTGGTACTCGTCTATCCAAGGCCTTTTTTGCCGGACTTGATGCACATGTTGTAAGTGTTTCACCATCTGAGTCTCCCTACGTACCTCGTTCTCATTGACTCTTGAGTGAATCACATTGATCACTCGAGGTCCGTCTGCCTACGGTTGTGGTGCTGGTGAAGGTGGTGCTGCTGGTGCCTAGGGTAGCCTTGCCAGTTCTTCCGTCGTTCGGGCCTCATCTACTAGGTTCCTTAAGTGACCTTGTCTGACCAGATCTTCCAAATGTGCCTTTAGGGCTCTACAACCCTGTGTTAGGTGTCCATCTTCATTGTGGTAGGCACAGTGCTTCCCCAAACTTCTCCTCATAAATTTGCCAGGGATCCTCTCCGGCGTTCTATTATATGGCTGGTTCCTAATCCTTTCTAAGAATTTATAAACTGGGATCCGAAACACGGTGGTGGCTACCTGTGCAGCCCTCAGTCTTGTTTTTTGTCTATTAAAATTTGTATTACCTCGGCCTCACTTCGGTGAGCCATTTTTCTTCTCCTGCTTTGACGCTTTCGTTCCTAGCGTGTCTTTTTCGGCTCTCGCATATTTCTTGATCCTGGCCATGAGCTCCTTCATACTTTTCGACAGAGTCTTTGCCAGTGACTTTTGAAGCATGCAGTCATCGTTCAAGCTATTTTTAAAAAATACGACCACCGACTCTTGGTTGTACCCTAGTATTCAATTAAACACCTCATAATACCTTTTGGCGTAAGCCCTGAGGCTTTCATCCTCGCCAATTCTTAGAGCCATCAGGGAGTCTACCCTCCACGGCTGTAGTTTATTTGTAACAAACCTGGCCACAAACATCTCGGCCAGGCCTTCCCAACTTTTCACAGTTCCTTTTGGCAACTTGTGAAACCAATCTAATGCAATTTCCCCAAAGGATGAGGGGAACAACTTGTAGAGCAACGGTTCGTTCCCAGTATACAGTGCCATTGAGTTCAAATATAAGCCGACGTGAAAGTTCAGATCGGACTTACCGTTATATATTTGGAATCTCGACATATGGAACCTTTTCGGGGCCTCAAACCTATCCAATTATACAGAGAACGGCGTCCTCGGCTTGACAGGAGACGTGACCTTGGCATTCTGTCTCTTCCTCTGGAGGTAGTCCCTTAGATCCTCCTTAGTCCGACCAAAAGCTCGACTGTCAACATATTTCAACCTTTTTGGTGCACTCTCCCGGTGTCATTATGAGTCCTCTTGGACTTCTCTTCATTCATTGTGTCAAAACAAAGTTCCTTCCCTTGAACATGCCGATGTTCTTTGACGTAGGTTCCCTTGGTTCGAGGCGTCCTCTGAGACTCTCCTCTCATTGATTTTGCTAGCTTGGCGTCCCGTGAAGGCCGAGGTGAGCGTTCTTTCACTTTGTCATGCTGAGAAACTACTGGGATTGCTTTCTGCCCCCCTTTCTGGGCATCGTTCTTGGCCGCTGGAATCGATGTGTCCTCCAATGGAAACGGTGGCTGCATGACGCTGTTCTGCATCATAAAATTGACAACCGATTGTAGGTCTGCCAACTTGTTTGCTATTCTCTTCATCTCGCCGTCCCTCCTCAAGCATCTATCTTTCCATACCTGGAGGTCACTTTCGTTGTAATACCCGCCTTGACATGTTTTCTTCGGTGCATCTCCCTCTTGGCCGACGTCATTTTCCCTGGGATTCTGATCCCGAGGTTCTTCATTACAGTTCTCCTCATCCACATTAGGATCGGCGTTCCTGTCTCTATCACCAGGGATGTCGTCCCCGACTTTCTCTTTCAGCCTGTCGTTGGCTATCTATTCTCCTTACGTTCCTACAGATGGCGCCAAATTGTGTGTGTTGATTTTTGACCACACAACCAAACAGGGAAACTCAGCAGGAGAGCACTGGTAGAATAGATTAAGCCCGAACAACCTAGCACAGAAAAATTAGAATCCGGCTATGGTTCGTCCACCCGGGGGCACTCCGACGATGAAGTCAGTAATTATCTCTAAAAGATAGCCAATAGTGCTTAGCTCACTAGACAGAGCATAAAAAACATACCTTAGACCCACGAGGGTGCCTTACCTTTATAGCCAGCACTAACCTGATCCCTGTAGAAGCCTAGCTTTAAAGAACTTTGGCTCAATGCTCATCTTGGACTCCTAGCTAGATAGAGATAAATTACCTGAGAGCTTTATATTTATCTAGACTGAGGTCCTCCCCCACTCCAGGACTCTTGTCCCCTATCTGCTCATCTTGGATTTTGATATCTCTAAAGATAACGTCTGCCTAGCTGAGATCATCTCAGTACGTGACCAAGACACGTGGAACCTTGGCTGACACTTCGGCGTCACCTTGGCCACGTGTTGTCATTCACAAAATATGTCCCCACATATAGCTTTTGTTTGCGTTTTTACTATAAACACATTTGCCGCATTCATTAATTTTGAATCCATTTGACATCATTGCTTTGTCAAATTTCTCACGCCATTGCTTTGACGCTT